GAGCCAGCTCCCACGTCAGAGGATGAAAGAGAGCGCATACAGTCAGTCACAGTCAGCAGAACAGGACTACACTAAAAAACAGGCCAAGCTGCAACATGAATAATCAAAGGTGTTGACTCCCAGCCAAAGAGGAACAGACCAGAAAAAGCTACTATGAGGAAAAAGCAAAGGTATATAAAGTCAGAGATTGAACTAAAAAAATACTGTAGAGTGGGAGAATAGAGAAAGAAACAGGATTATGAAAGGGGGTCCCTGTGTCTTCCAGCAGTCTACGTCTATAGCTGCATAACTATAGAGATAGCTCAGGACAACCTGAGCCATTCTAACTATAAGTTCACTAATGCTAAACTAACTAATGTAATGAACTGGGTATGTGTTCAGGTTGTACCTCGACCTTTTGCCCATGGCCTGTTCTAGATGGGCACCAGCCCAACGCAAATCTGATGGATATGTGCTAGCAGAAAGAAGCATAGATGTCCATCAATAGAGATGGGAAAAGTTATAGTGGGAGCCACTACCACTTGTATTGTATATTTACCCTTAAAAAAAAAATCTATGTAAAAATTTGATTCTAAGATGGCTTATCCCACAATGCACAATTTATTACCGAGTAACTGCTTTAAGATCGTAACTTTTTTTTTTTTTTTTTTTTTTATCAACATCATTATAAATTTGTCAACTGTTTTAGGATCAGAATGCATTATAGATCATGTGGAAAAATAATTATATTCTGAGCTGTAATGAACATCTTCCATATGAGGGTTTTATTTAACCCATTTACTTGAACATCAATATTTTAATCTGTCTACAAACTTTTATTTACCTACTATTATCTTGCCACTGTGGCCATTTTAATGTGATTTATTCTTATTCATCAAGTATAGAACTATAGATGTGTTAAATTATTCTGGCTACTCTTTGTAATACTACACTTGAATTATTGATCTATTCCTGGGAAGATGTTGGCTCATGCCTCTGTATTACCTCAGAGATTATGCCAATCTGATTTCCAAGTTCCAAGGTAAAGAACAGCATTAATCCTCAGCTTCCTGAGAGTTCATCTGGAATTCCTTACATGTGTTGTCATGATTTATTAGTTTTGGATTATTTTCCATCCATCCATTCATTTTCTCCCACTTGTTTCATAAAGGTTGCAGTGGGGGTGGTGCCTTTCTCTGGCAGTCTATGGGTATGAGGCGGAATACACAATGGACAGGTTGCCTGCCTGTCGCAGGGATTATTTGCTAGTTCTTCTGATTTTTTTGCATTCACAAGACAGTTTCTGGATAGGGTAAGGGGTGGGTAACAGAGAATATGTGGAAAGTTGTTAAACAATGACTCTGATTCCTGGTCTGCGTTCTTGGCAGTCAGGGGTTTGAAGGAGCAAGACTTCAAGAAAGAAGAGCTGCACCATCCAAAGTTGGGTAGATGCTGTCTCTCCAAATCAGAACGAGTCTACGAATTTATAGGCACAATATGTTTAGCTTCTTTTAATCCACTGATGATTTTATTTTGATTTTAGACCGATTTTGTTGTACACTTTACTAGAGATTGAACAATACACTGGCCAGCAAATATTTAGGGTGGATATTAGCTTTTTTTTTTTATTAATATCTGCTGATATGTGCATGCATTTGCCTATTTATAAGTGCATTCAGCAGACAAGCCATGAGATCATGAGGAGTGAATTAATTTCTGCTATCATACATCTATCTATAAGTAGGTGAGGAAAAGATTAGTTTTGTTTCAGAAAAAAAAACAGCAAAAACCTTCTTTAATCAAGGTCTCGCCATTAGGAGATTGAGCCATGCTGGGTCCCGGAGGGTTCTGTACTTGGTCCATTTTCCTTTATTTGTATACAGATGTTACATGCTTGCCCAGAGGCATATTTTATTTGCTAAGGATAGAAACTTTTTCTGTGATAGGGAACACCTGAAATGGAATGAATGACAGCGTAAAGTAGTCATTCCCACAAATTATCTAATTATCTTGAAAAATGTTGAGTACAGCAAGGCACCATTGCCTTGCAGCAAGAGAGTCCTGGGTTTGATTCCTGGCTTAGAGTATTTCTGCATTTTCTTCCCATACATTTGTGGGTTCACTCTGGGTGCTTCCTTAATTGGTATCTTTAAAAGTATGAGAATGAGGTGGCATGGTTATAAGTCTCTGTTTTGCCCTTTGATAGACTGGCGGCCTGTCCAGTGTGTACCCCACCTTTGGCCCATAGACTGCTGCACATTGGCACCATTCCCACCTTTACCCAGACGGTTAAGTAAAAGACGGAGTTCTGGTCAGTCTACATTCCTACCCTGACATATGGTAATGAAATCTGGATCATGACGGAAAGAAGAAGATACCGGATACGAGAGGCTAGATTATGCTTTCTCCCCAGGGTGGCTGGGCACTCCATTATGGATGCAGAGAGGAGCTTTGTCATACGGGAGAGGTTTGGAGTAGAACTGCCTCGCTACCACATTGAGAAGAGTCCCTTGAGGTGGCTCAGACATCTTTTTCAGATGCGTTCCGAAGGCCTCCCTTGGGAGGTGTTGCAGGCATGTCCCACCAAGAGGACCAGGGCATGACCTAGGACACGGTGTGGAGATTATTTCTCTCTGTTTCCCAAGAAAGCCCCACCTAGGGCTTCCTCAGGCTGAGATGGAGGAGGTGCCTGCAGAGATGGAGGTTTGTGGAGTCTCTGCTGAGACTACTACCACTATGACCTGGTCTCAATACAAGTACAACGAGTAAAAATTTAGTAGTTTAGCATTGTTTCAACTTATGGGGGGGGAAAAAAACCATCCATTTGGTAATTGGTTTAAAATATCTATCAGTACTTTGTGTCGTTTTTTTTTTTTTTACTTGTAGGAGTACTATACGCATATTGTCTTTGTATCATCTGAAATACTTCAATTGACATTTAGGTTCTTTCATTTCGTCAACATTGCATTTATATTAGCATTTTTTGTTGCCTAGAATACTTTTCTCATTTTAGATAAGAGATATGCTTAGGACATGAAATTACTCCAACTCCATGTTTCATTATCTTTTTGCATTCAGACTAGTTGCTATATGTGTCAATGATTACAGTCCTCCAGTTTCATCATGGCTTCACACCTTGGGTAAGAGCTGCAGCACAGATTTAAGATGCATGACAACTGCAGCTTTACTGTTTGCTAGTAGGATTGGTAATTGATAGCGTCACAGTTATTTCTGCATAATTTGCAGCATGATGACTCTGGAGACTTTGCAACAGAGCCAATTTAAAAGCAGAATGTAACTAGACAATTTAAAGTGAAGTTACTGGTAAAGAACATATGACATCATGAAACTATATATCTTTATAGATGGTTAGGAGGTCACTGGCAGTTGGAGATAAGTGTGCAATTTTTCAGTTGTTTTGCAGACAGCCAAGCACAAATATGTCAATATAAAGCATTTAGAAAAAATAAAGCTTTAAAATGGGAAACCGAGCAAACTAAGCATCAAATCTTATGGCAAGACCTGAAATCTCTAAGAGTAACCTATGTGAAGTTCAAAAACAAAAATCATGAGGTTAGCAGAACTTTCTGTTAAAAGAAAAATCAAAAACATCTTCAAATTAAATGTATGTATGAATGCAGTACCAATAGTTTTTGTGATTGATGCTTATGTAATGGAAGAATATCAATAAATTCTGTTTAAAAAATGCATCTATTTGCATTATGCATCTTCTTAAATATTTAAAGGCTGTCACGAAGTTATGATTTTTACCACATTGTGTACTATTTCTGTTATACGTCTAATGCAAAAAAACAAATGCCAGTGTTTCTAACTTTAATCAGACAATTCGCTGTAAATGCCCCTTTTTCCCCATTCAGCCTCAGTGCAATGAAGACATACGGTCTACAGTAATAGAATTTGCCCAGGAAGCAGTTAAAGTTATGAAAATGTTTTTTTTATATATATATTTAAAGGTTTTTGTTACTCAAGTGGAATAAAAATGTTCTTGTTCTGGTTAAAAAGTGAACTAGTTTCCTACTTTTCAGGCGTTCAGGTTTCTTAAATTAAATGGCTGAAAAGCTGCACAGACAAGTAAATTAGCAGTCCATCAAATGTAGGTGACAGCCATCCAAAAACATCCAGACAAACTTGAATAGGTTAGTAAGATGAACAAAGAAAACACATTCTCTTCCACGGAAGGAGATCTAATTTTTTTAGGCATTATTACCAAGCAGAAATATATCACATTTAACATATTCATTTATGCTGTTCTTTTTTCCTTGAATGTTGTCAGAATGAAAACCAGAGTATTATGCAACATGTGCTGTTTCTTCAAAAACCCTGGCATTTACTGGGGAACCCCAGATGAGGAAGAGGAAGAATCAGGAAACTGTTTAGTATACCAATATAGTCTTCTGCAAATTAGTTAAGGAATACCCACTTAATGGTAACATGTTAAAATTAGCCAGTGGAGTTCTACTTGGTATTTTCTTAAATAAACAAAAAACAAATAGAAGTGTTATTTCGGCTGTTATTTTACACCATTTTACAATATAACAGCCATGAAATTGTACCATAATACATTTTTTGGAATCATTGCAACCATAGTTTATATGAGGATGTATTTCTTTAAATATAAAAAAGTTATTTTGAGTGTAATGTACAGTATAAACCAAGATTATTTAAGATTTTTGCAGGTCTCTGAAAATTGCATCAAGTTCTATTTTTTTTTTTTCAGGAACTTTGCATCACTTTTTTGTATAAAAACTTTAGCAGTCATTCGTATTTCAAAGAATTTTTATTTTGTAAAAAGACAAACAAACAGAAATATATTTACACTTTTTACAAATGCCTTACGCATAGTTTAAGATGTGCTCTCACATGAAGTCCAGATGCTATCTAAGAGTTGAGATCTAAAAATGCATTTACCCCATAAGCAAAAGTTAACTTATAAGTCTAACGGAGAAACAAGTGTATGTGATAGTTATGTAGCACCTTAACTCAACTATTTGCCATATTTGTAGAGCAGGTTTTTTACTGTCCATTTATCTTTGTTTTGTTTTTTTTTTCTTTTTAAATAGGTGTACCTCAAAATGAATTAGTTCGGAGCTGGCAGGCTCTGAACAGAATCTGTACAGTAAAACAATCACACACAACAAAGGACACCAAAATTGCTTGGAACCAGCCAAAACCATAAGAGCACAGCAAGTGTGCTTCTGTAACACAAAAGTGTTCTTCATAATTTCACATCGGTGGATGAGGGAGATGAGGGTTACTGTCTCAAATGCTACCAGAACAAGCAGACACATGACAAATATGGCTGGCATTTTAGCTTAATGTAGGGGTTTTGCTCTTCGGTAGAGAGTGGAGGTGAGGGTAGAGGGGTGGAGCTTGTGAGCAGGAAGAGCTTTTTAAAAACAGTCCAAAACTTTAAAGAGTCCTCCTGTCCGATCCTGACGATCTCAAATCAGTCTAGCATCAAACATCTCTGGATGAAAGATGTTCCAGAATTCAGACATGGTGTTTCGGCTTTCTGTACCCAGTGTTGTATACCGTGGAGTTTCGTCTAACTCTCCGACTGCAAAACAAGCAAAACATTCGAACATGAGTGAAGGTGAAAACAGGTGATCATCAACAAAATTGAAAGCAAATGTTCATATGCTCTGGTTCTGCACAGCTACATGCAAAACCTCAGAACAGTGCATAAATAAAGTTTCCTTTGAAGGTTTGCAATTGCTGTAGAGTAAATTTCCTCAAAGTTTAGCAGTATTTACCTGAGGAAGATTCACTCCACTCGCTCTCTGGACTGGTGCATGCTTCATTGTGAAGGAATCCCTCAGTGCCTGTACTGTACGTCCAGTGTGTGTCTTTATCCAATGACTTCAGTAACTGTAAGAACAACACCAGACTGAGTACGGCCTACACTTTGTCCAACTGGAAATTTCTCACACCAAATACTTTTTTTTATTAAGTTAACCTTTTTTATCGTTATTAATGCCAAACCGGCAGAACAAGACTAAGTGTGGGTATTCCTGCCAATGAAAAAATGCATGCAATTAAGAGTGAGAGCTTTAAGTCATGCTTACCTCGACAAGTTCTGGAGTGTAGCTGTGTCCTGAAAGAGCGCAGCGGAAACCAGGGAGAGGAGAAAAAAGTACTTTCAGTATGGTTTGACAGATATTATTACTTCTAATTATTTTTGCTTTTTTTTTTTTTTTTCAATTTTCAGTTAAAATGTGATCTTGCTCTCTTACCAGGGCTATGTTCAGGAGAAACCTCAAATCTGTGGGGAAAGTTGAACTGCAAAGGATCTGTCTCAATCTCAACTAAGTGAGACAACTCTGGAACTTCACCGCTCAGGTCAAACCCTGCAAAAAGAAAACAGTATTAATTCCCCTTGTTTATTTTAACATATATTTAAAACATATTTTGTTTTCATATCTCAGTTTTACATAAATATTTCAGAGTTTCTCACTTACCTAAACTGTCCATGTTTACTGTGCTGTCTACTGTGTTTTCCTGGGTGGACATGGCTTCCTCTGGCGGACACGTGTTCATGGGAGATTGAGTTTCACTGTAGTCTGACTCCTCCTCTTCCTTGACTGGTTGTCTCTACGGAGACAAAAAGACAAATTCAGTAAGGGTGTTTTTTTTTCTCTAAACAAAACACAAGAAAATGCATGCTCTGTGATAGTATTTACATAGCCTAATCTAGGTCAGGATGAGAGTGGCATCATTTGAATAAAACTCTAGCTGAACAGGAATAATTTTATCTATCGCTGGAGCAGATGAATAATATTTACCTTCCTCCGCAGCTTGGCACTGCTCGACTTGCTTCTTTTGTCTGTAGAGAGGAAAGAAAAACATTTTAATTACTTTCCATTATTACCATCTTCTACTAGCATGAAAGCAGAAACAAATCTACAATGAAAAGTCTTTTATTATGTCGGGTAATGTTTCTCACCTCTACTTTTTGAAACAGCAGGCAGCATTCTGAAGACCCGCATGGCTTGGTGGCCTTTGTTAATGCTCTTGTCTTTAACCTCCTCAATGTCAGGCAGGGAGTTCATTGCACATCTGAAGTTGGCTTTCCATGTTTTAGGATCGCAAACCTGGCCAGTCGTGTATTTTCCTGTAGAAAGCGTTTAAAATGATTATTAATGATTAATATCAGGTTTTGCAGCAGAAAGATCACCTCGGTTTGTCAGCAATAAGGCTGAGGTTTATTTACTTGCTTCCTCACCTGTGTGGATGGCCCATTCTTTGAACAGACATGCATCTTTGTCGAGCTCCCAACCATGCCGAGCAGCATGCTTCCAGGGGATTGAGAACATTGTCTTCTCCTGCAACATACATTTTAGAAATTGTAGTTTTTTAAATTTTTTTCTTTACATATTTGTTTTAAAATAAGTTTTCTGCACACACAAAAAAAGTGATCGAAGCTAAAAAAAAAAATTGGTTTCATGTATTATTAGATTTTTACCTTATCCACCCAAGCCAGACCATTGATGCTGTTTGAATCGATCATCTTCTCCAGCCATGGCCTCATCCTCATTCTGGACACAGGCATGTTTGTGCCTAAAACACCAAACGACACAAGCAGAACAGGAGCGTTTTAGATAAAGAATCAGATGCCCCTACACATACTGGTGAGAGCAACTTTCTCCCCACATCCGCCTGAGCTTAGATTTAAGGCTGCCAGTTGGCCGCGCGCATAAAAAAAGGGTGAAAATGAGTTCAAGATTGCGGGGGAGGTTTAGGAGGGGGGCGTTTACGCATGAGTCAAAGATATTTGTAAGTTTGCTGTGCTAAAAAAAAAATCAATAAAAAACATGCAGCTATTCTAAAATATATTTGTTAATTCGCCCTGTCTCATTTTTCAGCCTAAAGTGTTAAATAATAATCATAATAACATCTGAACTTGACATGCTGCTGGAGGCGCACAACACGCGTTTATTCCCGTCAATAAATTAGAGCCACAATGTTTACAATATAAGCGACATATGCGCAAAGCGTTGAAAAAACAAGTATAAAAAACAGAAAAATACAATAAAATAATCCAATGCATGCGCCTAAAACCATTCACATTAAATTCATAAAAAGTGATCAAGCATAAGCTTAAGGAGCAACTTACAGTGTCTAGTCTTTGTATGATCCAAGGGAAAATAAGGAAGATGCGTAAAAGGCAATAGTGCCAAAAGTCCGAGTTAGTAGCAATCCGCTTCTTCTCGTTCCGGAATTATCCTTTTGGATAGCTGTATTGAACTATACTGAGTAGTGGCGGGTGTTGTTCTTTTATACAGTTAAGGCTGGTATTCCCCCGGTCAGCTCAGAGGGGCGGGATCGCACTGTAAAAAAAATACCCATGTCAAAAAAAAAAAAAAAAGACGCACTTTATGTTTTGGCACTGAAAACCTTTTTAAAAAGGATTAAAAATCCATGTAGCAATTTTTATGTTGTAGTTTTAGTTTGTTTCAAAAGATTGTTTATTATATTTTTTTTTCATTTATTATGATTTTCCTTAAAAATGTTTATTGCATCACTTTGTAACAAAGCATTACATTAAATAATTACAGAATGAGGTAATGAGTTATAAATTATTAACAGGTTGCTTGACATTAATACATTTGTATACATGCAGTGTATGCACGTGTTTTTAAAAAAAAACTCTTATAAAAAAAATGCATTAAAAAGATTATTATTTTTTTTTTTTTTTTTGGATGATCAGCGACACTTTTTGCAGTGTGCTGCGCATGCGTTTGTGAAAAAGCAGTGGACCTGTTTCCGAGAAATCACGTTGTTGAGAGCAAGAGGGAAGTTAATAACAACAAGGCTTGATTACAGTAGCAAGCTGCACGTAGACGTGTGGCATAAAACTCTAATGACCTGACCTGAATGACGTTTTGTAATCGAGCATGCAGAAGTGTGCTGGTGACCTTGCAGAGGTCTGAGCCGGAAGTTTTGCATCTTGCAGATGTATTTTATTTTTTTTAATAAATTCAAATGAATATCAGACAAAAATGCATGAGCTTTTTGCAATGTTACTGTTAATGTAATAGAGATTTAACATAGACTGAATTTATTTAAAGTCACACTACATTCCCACCAACAGAAAGGCAAGTATAGGGGTTTATTATTGCCCACTGGCATGTGACAGGAGGAAGAATTGAACCCACAACTTTCGGATGTGTGTGAATCTGTGCAATAGTTTAAAATATTTTTTATATTACTGTTATAATATGAATGCATGAAGTGACTTCCTTTGTGCATTCCTTCCCCCGGACTCCCACTCTGGAATTAAAAATGTCCTCATGATACCAGACAAGCCCTTTAGAATAAACAGACGCCGCTGTGAGAAGTGGGGCATTTACAAGAAATGCTGTAGTAATTTTCTCCTGCCGCTAGAGACAGACTGTTACATGCGCTCTCATAGGAAACCAGTTCAGAGGAGGTGTGGGTGTATTCATGCTGTCACACATTGGCACAGTGACAGAAACATACCACGTGCTCATGAAACGCTTGGGAAACAAAGAAAATGTACGGGAGATGCAATGGCGTGTAAAAATGCTCACACTGATAAAAGATTTTTTGTTTTTTTAGTGTGCAAATCTTATCACCAGGTCAGATATGTGTGGGTGTGTGTGTGTGCGTTTGTGTGTGGGGAGGAGTAAAGACACTCTTGCTATTTAAAACTGTGTTTGCACCATTAAAACATTTGGGAAGCCCCATAAATGCCTCGTTACATCTCCCCCTGCTGTCCTGACTCCTGGGGCTTCCCGAACGGTAGCTGCCTGTTGGCCGCGCGCGGCCCCGCGCTCAGCCCCGCCTGGCGCGCCTGGCAGGGAAGGACAGGGATTTTTCCTGCGGAGTTTTTCCACCGGCTTTCAATGAGTGGGATTTCCCGCCAATAATTAAAGTCCATATAGGGTATGGTTGGATCCTCCCAGGTTTCTGCGCTCCTGTTGTTTGTCAGCTGATACTCCAGCCAGCTCAGTGGAGAGAAATAGGTGAATTATAGGAATCGCTGCAGCTGATGTAACACATGCCAACTTCTAGTTTTTTTCCTTTAGTTTATCCATCTTTGCTTGATAACACCAGTGAAGAAAAGCATCAGGAACAAATAAAGTATGAATAACTCAGCGAATAATATTTTAATCTCTAGTTTGATGGTGGAAAATGTAAAGCATATCTGCACAGGGGCTGTATTAAAAATCCTTTGTTTAATGAAAAGCACCCTTAATATACAGTCCTCATCAAAAACAGGGTATTGGCAGCATCATGCTGTGGGGATGCTTTACTTCAGTAGGGTCAGGGAAGCTAGTCAGAAAATAGTAAAATAAGGCACAAAGTTGGTTAGAGACACAAAAAAAAACAAGATAGGGTGATGATCAACTTTCTGTAAAACAAAGTGGAAACACTGGAAGATTGAGGATGTTTCTGTGTTAGAATAGTCTAGTTTAAATCCAAACCTGAATCACACAGACCTTTTATGTAAAGAAAAATGAAAGAAATAAACTTTTGCAAGATACATCTTGTTTAAAATCATATTTCTTCCACATTAACCACTAATTAGCTTCTTATTTCTGAGTTTCCGAACTCTAATTTCAAGTTCGGTTAAATCTAGACTTAGACTAAACTTTATTTATCCCTTGGGATTACTCTTTTAGGGAAATTCTGGTTCCAGTAGCTTATAAAGAGTACAAAGAGTTAAAGCAAAATGCCATTAAAGATAAAAATACTACAGACAATATAACAAAAGTGTATACAGTAACAAAAAAGCATTTAAAAAAAAAGAAAAAAGCTGTAATCTAAATGGCAGTTAGCAGATTAATTCACAGAAATATTTTATTCTGGTGAATTAGGCCACCTGAAATAATAAAATAGCAATTTGAAGCTTTGGCAGAAGCCAAGCTGCTTGAGCATTCAATCACTATCCCCACCGGACCACGTGCTTTGACAGCTCAGTGACACTGGATCAAGCCAAAGCCCTCACACGTCAGCTACACAATTACAGCATAGCCACAGGTGAGAGAAGGAAAGCAAGACTTACCAGAGGAAACCCTTTAATTTTAGCATAGATATTATGTAATATTTTGTAAGAGGTTTTTTTTGCAAAACAACTCAAGTCATCCTGTATGAAGATTGCAGAGCAGCAGTTCAGCTTGTCATGCTTCCTGTTATTGGACAGCAGTGCAGTCATTTCTAATGATAAACTCTTTAGCTTTTCGTTTTGAGAGGAAACAATAAAGAGAGAATGCATATTCAAGGTATTTGATTTAGAAAATAAAAGCGTGAGTGAGTTGAAGAGTGAAAGGAGTGAGGAAAGGGAAAGGAAAATAGAATCAGCTCCCTTGCTTCTTCCTATGTTGTGGTGTGTCACTGAAAAGTGTATTTATGTTTAGCACCCTCATCAGGCCACTAATTGTATTGTTTTTGAGAGTCAAGATAAAACAGGTTTCTCTGCTTCTGTGAGAAAAAAAAAAAGAACTTTTCTCAGCTTCTAAAAGTTAACATTCGTTTTTAATTATTTATTTCGTCATATTTCCTGGAAGAAATATTAACTTTGGGCTATAATTTGTTGACATTCACATGCCCAGTTGAAGTATCCCACCCTGAAATGAAATCAAGAAATGGTTGCTCAGATGAACAAATTGCACAGTAATGAAAAGGGAATGTAAAAATAATAAATCCCCCTGGTTGTATCAGATGACTCGCCTCTGGTTGTTAAATGTTGCACTTTTACCTTTTGAAAGCCACATGCGCAAGACAGAGGTTTGGTTTTCTCTCTCTGAACTTGCCCCTGAGGCTAGCTGTTAGATAAAAGCATTTAACCTGTAAATAACCAAACATCCTTAGTTGGCAAATGTCACATCTAGGTTCCCTATTTCCTACGTCCCTCTATGCACAGAACATTTCATTTTATTGGGGCATTAGCATGAATTGTGTGTACCTCAGATGGCCCTCTAACTGAAACTGCATGGTTAATGATTAAAGAGGAGGTGATGAACCATAATGGTTTCATGGAGAGGGTCATAATCTTAAAGTGATATGGTTGGAAGGATGATTTTATCTTTTCTGCTGTTGAGAAAAAAAGGCTGGGAAATTGCATAAGTGAGGACAGATAGACTATTCTTCTGCAAACGTGGAGATATTTATTTTCTCTAGTCTTTGATAAATAATTCCTCTCTCTGTTTCTGTAAAGGGCTTCTAAATTAGAAATATACATACGAAATAGTCAGGTTTTTGGATGAAAAAAAGTAAAACAAATATTGATTTTGGAGAGATATAAACCTTTGAAGCATTAGTCTCAATGTTTTCTATTATTTATGTCATTAGTCAGCAGTTTATATTCAATAGAATAATCCCAAAATATTTTGCTCCATCAGAACAGGGGGAATAATGAAGAGGTTGAAATGTTGCAATTTATTTTGGAATAATATTTTATTTCAAATTAAACCACACCAGCTACAGTAAATTAATTGACCCTTTTTTCAATATGTCAATAGTCTGTAATGCCTTTCATCATTATAAGTAGCCATATATAAAATAATTATAATAAAGGATAGCTGTTTGGGCAGAAAGATAATATTTCCAAAACAAAAACTCTCAATATTAGAAGCAAAAACATAATTTTTCAATTTGGCAATTTAATTTGATTCAATTCCTTTTTTTTATTTTTTAATCAAATCAATTTTTTTTTTTTATCTAATGAAACTAATTAGATTACATCTAGTCATTGACCTGCAGAACTCACTTCACCTGAAAGAGCATGTACTGACGGTAGAAAGTCGCTTGCCTTTTGTTGTTTACTTTGCAACTTTATGTTGAGCATACATGTAGCGACAGCGGCGAGCAAAACTCCCTTTAAGAGGGAGGAATGCTCCCGCAGAACCGGGCTCAGTGTGAGCCGTCTTCTGCAACGATTGACAAAACTGACAAGAAGACAGAGCATGCACACACAAAAAGAACCTAGAAGTACTTATTCAGGACTACTTTCTATGATGGAGAGGATAATGGCACACCTGGTTCATAGCTGGCTATGATCAGGGAATAAGCACAGAGAAGCAGTTAATTATTAGTAAGTTTTCAGGTCATAATTCTCAATTATAAGCTAATAGCTTTTGACTGCATTATGTGGAATTTCTAATAGGAATTAATGACTAATTCGTTTTTCAGCATCACTCCTGAGGAGGATATTTCTAATGTTAGAAAAACTCTAGAAATGAAAGAAAAAACATTGAAAGCTGTTTATTATTAGATTTGAATGACACGTCCTACTCTCTTTACTTTATTATCTGAGGTTAAATCTAATACCATTTAGATGGAGTGACTGACTAAACAGTGTTTCTAAGACTATGTTCCAAAGATGATAACTTGTGTCTTGTCGGAAGTTCATAGCAGAAAGTTTTAAGTTATCCACGTTTTTATGTTTAATAAGACTATTAGAAGTATGCATCAGGATGTATGGACAAATATAGATAAGTGAAGCATAACCATGAAAGTTAATCAGATGTGGTCTGATAATCTGACCTGTTGGAAGCATAGATTGAATGAATAGAATTGGCCTGAGCATTGAACCCTGTGTTACCCCACAAGTCTCCCTGTAGTTTTCAATATTTTATTAAATGAGAAAACAGAAATCTGTTGGACAAATAAGATGTTAGCGATCCTGGTGCTGTTCCATGGTTCCTTTAGCTTTTCTAGGAATGTTGTGATCAACTAAATCAAATGCATCTCCAGGATCTATCAGGCTAAGAAGAGACACAACTCCGTTTAGGATCATATGATGGAATGTAGGAATGTTCATAGGAGGAAAGAAAAAACCCAGCAGCAGGGCCCCTGCCTCTGCCTTTGTGCAAGGAAGAACAGGAGGAGCACTGCCAGAGCCCTAAAAATGACCTCCAGCAGGCCACAAGTGTGCATGTATCTGCACAAACGGTTAGAAACTGTCTCCATGAGGAAGCTATAAGGGCCCGATGTCCACAGATGGGGGTTATGCTCACAGCCCAACACCATGCAGGATGCTTGGAATTTGCCAGAAAACACCAGGATTCACAAATTTTCCACAGATAAAAGCAGGTTGACACTGAGCACATGTCACAGACATGACAGAGTCTGCAGGAACCATGGAGAATGACCTTCTGCCTGCAACATCCTTCAGGATGACTGGTTTGGCTGTGGGTCAGTAAAGGTGTGGGTAGGCCTTTCTTTGGAGGTCCACACAGCCCTTCATATTCTCGCCATAAGTAGCATAGCTGCTATCAGGTACCGAGATGAGATCCTCAGACCCCTTGTGAGACCATATGCTTGTGCTGTTGGGCCTGGGTTCCTACTAATGCAGGACAATGCTAGACCTCATATGGCTAGAGTGTATCAGCAGTTATTGCAACAGGAAAGCATTGAAGCAATGGACTAGCCCGCACATTCTCCAGACCTAAATCCATCTTTGCACATCTGGGACATCATGTCTTGATCCATCCACCAACGTCACGTTGCTACACAGACTGTTCAGCAGTTGCTTTAGTCCAGATCTAGGAGGAGATCCTTCAGGAGTTCATCTGCCACCTCATCAGGAGCATGTCCAGGCGATGTACCAAGGTCATACAGGCAGGTGGAGGCCACACACAATACTGAGCCTCATTTTTACCAGTTTTAAGGACATAGTATCAAAATTGGATCAGTCTGGACTGTGTTTTTCTACTTTGATTATTGTGTGTCAAATCCACGCCTCCATTCATTAATAAATTAGATTTCCACTGATGATTTTTGTGTTATTTCGTTGTTAGCACATTCAACCTTGCACAGAACAAAGTATTAAATGAGAATATTTAATTTATACAGCTCTAGGATGGATTATTTCAGTGTTTCCTTTATTTTTTTAGCAGCGTATATTGAATATATTTTAATATTAGGGCTTTAGTAGTTATTATGAAAGGAATTATGTGCTCACAACGTCAGAACTAATCATGCCCTTTAACTAAATACATTCATCCTTTAACTATTTGCAGGTTTTCACCTAAAGCTCTTTCAAATCTACTGTAGGTACATTTTCAATATTTTCTGTTTTTTATCACACAATAAAACACAAAACTTTTAAAGTTTTTTTATTTTGTGATGGGGAAATACAAAGGTTTTATTATTTTTTTCTTGTTGAATGCTATTTTTGCCTATGTTTAAGCTGTTTTGTTTTTATCTGCACTGTTCTGTTTTTTATCGTTTTGTTTTATTTTCTGTACAGCACTTTGATCAGCTGTGCTTTTTTTAAAATTGCAAATAAAACTGGATTGGATTGGACTGAATACCTTATTTTTGCAGAAACTGTGATGAGACAACAGAAACACTTCTGGACTTTTCTAAGAGAAGTAGAAATCAGTAGGACAGCTAAACAACATCTTGCAAAAAAAAAAAAAAAAAATGGGTACATACAGTAAGATTGTAATAGTAAGGTTTAGTGGCAAAAACTGTAGTCAAGAGAGAAGTGGAGGACATGATGTCCAAAGGTTTATAGCCGAGACTCAAACCAGGGATGGCATATTTATAGAGTTTATAGAGTTCAGAGAAGGTAAAGGAAATACCCATATATTAAGAGTGGCTGTATCTACCCAACCATGTTTTCCACCATAGCTCCTCATTACCCCTTCAGCTTTTATCGAGGGGTCAATCTGACCCTGTGCGTGTTTCTCCCAGTGCCTCATGCCTCTTTTGAATTTATTCTTCCCACTAGAGGGGACACAATGAAGCTGGAAGCTGTGTAACTGTAAAGTTTACAGCACTTCTATGTGGATGTTTTACTCTTTTTTTCATTTAATCCATCCTCACCCTTTACTTTATTATATGTTATGTCTCCAATTTGTTACATCTCAAAAATAGACTGCATGGCATCGTCAGGGTGTGTAGTAATATTGCAGGTATTACCCTGAATGAACACTTTAATTTTTCAATGAGCATGCTCCATCCTTTGGGATCAGAGCCTCACCTGACAAAATACAAGATTAACAGCCTAAATTTCTTGATTATTTTCTTTATCTCTGTGTCTATTGCTCTCCTGAGCATTTGATTCATCTTTTTCATGTGATGTATCTCATTGTTCATTGTTGACAAAGTGATTGTAGTTTAATAGTTTCTTTATTACTCCTAGCTGTAAAAAACTGCTCTACAGGAACAATAAAGACTCCTTGAACCTTTCCAGTCTTTCATAGGGGTCATATACACCACTAGGGCTGCTCTGCTTCCTCAGACCCTGGATAAACCTGCAGAGATGATGGAAATATGGAACCTGCTTTGGAACAGAAAGGAGAACAACGAAGCAAATCCCCCTCTGAATAGGTTATAAAAAAATAAAAAAAAAGACTGATTTAAAGCGAATATTTAAAACTAGTCAAGGTGTTTTGGCACTGCCTTAAACAGACAAGTCATATGGTGAATTAGTTAAAATAATTCTGCAAAGGAGATTAGATCCTTCCACAGTGGTTCAATAGACATATAAACATTTTCTACAAATACTCCAGATGTCACCTAGCAGAGAATAATAGTTTTACTGTACAATAAGTGTCTCAATGGATTTGTTTAATGCACATCTTTGTTGATGTGTTTTGGCTAATGAATATTATAAACAATGTTTTAGGTTTTTTTGTTTACATTCATTAAGGATGAACAATTGTTTTCATCAATGTATTCTAAATAATTTCTCAGAATGTATGTGAAATATGTCTAAAATACAGATTTATTTTGTTGTTTTTTGTTTTGTTTTTTTTTGGGAGGGAGGGAATAAAACTTACTGCCCAGAGATTAGTGGACTTTGATCCCATGTGCAAAATAAATAAACTAAGCAGTCAAATTTTTGCCATCAGCTCATCCTCTGTCATTCTCTCTGGGTTCTTCAGTCAAATTACAGGTAACCCAATTAACATTTACAAACCTAATTAAATTGAAAGAATTGCTTAACAAGCTGTAACCTGATTGGCTGCCCTGCTTGTTTGGTTACTTGACTGATTCCTCTCATTGTGTATGAAGGGGAGCATTGGCTCTTTTTTCCAATGTGCTTTGAGTTTTTTTCTGCTTATGGATCAAAAACAGCATGTCCTTTCCAGTGACCGATTTAATAAGGTGAGTCAGCAGAAGAATAAGACCGAAGCATCAAATAAAAGAAGACACTGGATTACATTTAGGCGGGGTAAACTGTCAAATAAACGTCTGCATTAGTAAGGTGTTTATATGTGTAGGGCTGTAGTCTGTGGTCGCAGATATTTTTGATGCAATTCTTATTTCCTCTCCTCCATCTGCCCACCCTCCTTGTCTCTGTGTCAGCCTTCCTCAAGGTTACTTTAGTTCAGTGGGCGTGTCTTGATGAACCACGTGACTCTGATGCAAAGTTACCCTGTGTCACAGCGTGCTCAGCTGCAGGGATGGCGTGATGTTCTGCGCATCCCCTTTAAAAAATCAATCAATTTAAAAAGTAAAAAAAAATATATATATAAATACCATGCGTTGTGATGTATTTCATTAATAGGTATATAGAAATTTTATTGGAATACATTTTTTAAGGAATCTGTTATGAACCCTGGGTGTCTTTATGAGCATGAATTTATAGAAATGATTCATGCACATGGCAGATAATAAACATAAACGACTTAAAAGGCGTTTAAATGTCATAATCGTGGGGTGTCTGTCGTGCATCTGCAACATCCAAAAAGGTGAAGGTTGAAAATACGCGATGATGCCCCCAGAAGGCTTCCTGCTTCTTCTTCTTCTTCTTCTTTTTTTTTTAATTCACACATGCAGCTTATGTTAAAGCCCACTCTACAGCCTGGACCAAACGAACCCCATCAGTTTTTGCTCTCTTATACCCCCCCTCCTCCCTCTCTTTCAGCCACCCTCCCCCTCTCCCCACCGTCTCTCCTTAATCTCCCAGATTGTCGGCGACTTGCTGCAGTCGATGCTGCAGCTCTGAGCCGCTCCCGACCGGCCCCGGGACACCTGAACCCATGAGAGAGACATGCTCGCATTCGTCCTGGTCTCTGGTTCACTCTGGATTATATTAGGTGAGTTTTGCGCATCTCTTGATTTTTCTGTAATAATCGTTTTTATTATTATTATTATCCTTATTCCGTTAACCGGGTAATGCACCTGCTTCTCTCTCTCTCTCAGGGGCAGAGCCTCATTGTGTGCGATTCATCGCCGGCTTTTTTTTTGTTGTTGTACAAAAGCAGCTGTTTTAAACGTGTAAACCGGACACGTTTGTTTCTGTTGGCGCTTTGCCCGCGTTTTAAAAACGTCGTTATAGTTATATTTTTATTTATCTTAAGGCTACACATGTGGCCCCTTTAAGCAGCACCAAAGCGCTCCTTGAATTATATCCTAGGGGCCAGATATAGGCTATATCTGAAAACGTGCTTTATAATCCGAGAAATAGCAGATTGGCTACCTATAATCAGGTAGGGCTGGATGGGTTGGATGTTCTCCCACGCGCTTTACAAGTAAACGCGGACATCCTTGTTTAATTTGATCAGACCACACCAGTTAAACCCAGAAATATTAAATTATCGCTCCTTTTATGAGCGAAATGTGATAAACGTGTCATTTAATGGCCTGCCAGCTGCTTTAATATCCTGTGACATTGTGCGTGGAAACCGGACACACGTCATTTTCAAGCCTCCCCTCCATGTATAGCTCACATCTCGTGTCTTTTTGAGACCGATTTGCCGCAGTGTGCTTGCACCGAAACGAGGAAGCGTTAGAAGCGGATCCACCACAACTTCCTCTGTTTACGGTAATGGTTGTCAGTGCGCCTTTTTTTAAATTTTTTCTTTTTTTTACAAATAAACCGGCGGTTGAAAGTCAGCATTTTGTCTGAAATGTCCTCCGCCATGCATGCTCCGATGATGGAGAGAGGGAGGGGGATGGATGAGGAGGATGAGGGAGGGTGACGCGCTGCAGAAGAGCGCAGCTGATTGGACGGAGCTGTCCAGGAGCGATGGGGTGCTGAACTCCTGCGGCCTACCGGCAAAAACTGGAGAGCATAGCGAGCTTCTGCTGAAAAACCGACACACCTATTCCCACCACAATTTGGAGGCAACCCAAGCATTACTATGAGGTGCATCGAGGCTCAGGAAAGACTCCCAAAATCTAAAATACCTTTTTTTTCTACATCATTTCTTTTACTTTAGTGTAGTGGATTAATATCAGTTTATGTTTAGATAAGCTTCAATCAAGGGGGTCACAAAGGCTTAAAGACAAGGGGACATTATCCTCAAGTGACAGGACAAAACTGGAGAATATATAATGAAAAACATCAAACCTATGAAAGACCTATTTAAGTTTTTACTTGCACTGCATACAGCAAGACTATCTGGGGCAGGGATCACCAAATCCTACATATTTTAAAAGTTTGAGCACACCTGATTTCAATAATTGGCTCGTTACCTGAGTTCTATAAAACATGTTGAGGAGGTTAATCAGTTATTTGACAAACTTCTATATCAAAGATGCAACATATAGCTTTTTTATGTAGGAAAGCAAAGGGAATTTACCACAAATGAAGATTTGACAATATTTGCTTACTTTTATTTAGAATCTTTCTTTCTTTGTTTAGTGAATTATTGAATACCTTGCCTGATTACTACATTTATATCCCTATTTTATAAAATAGAGTGTACACATCGAACCCATGGCCTTTGCAATGAGTCAGAATTTTTTTGTGTGTTTAATTTGATTTGTTTTCTGTATCTAATACTAGAACTGAAATTGACCTGAAAAAAAAACTCTCTTTAACTTTTAATATATAGTCAAATGGGACTAAACATAATAAGGAAATAAGTCAATCAGCAATTGCATAATAACCCTGACAAAACACTTTCCATCCTCGTATTCATTTCCTTTTTTAGCAGCAGAACTGCCAAATCTAAAGATTTGGGTAAAAAAAACAAAAAAAAAACAGCTTTCAATGCTATAGCTGTAGCAGTGCTTAAAATGTTGCATAAATAGGATCTGAAGAGTTTCACCTTCTAGCTGCAAAAGGAGTTGGTATCAGTGACATTTAAGAAGCCTTTATTTCCGCCAAGCATTGTTCATATGCAAGGTTACCCATTGTGAGTTAGAGAGACAGAGTCTCCCCCAGAATCGTTAATGGAACAAGAAATTACTTTTTTACCGAAACAAATTCCTGATACAGCCTATATCTAATGCCTTCAAAGTTTCATCAAGCTCTTAACCCTCCCAAATCCTTCTATCCTCCATGAATAAAGTAAGGTCCTGATGCTGCTGAAGCTCCATGTTGCTCCTAAGGAGAAGTGTATTTATACAAAAGGCATTATAAAGAAGTCTTTTGATTCTTCTTTTCTTCTTGCCTGTTTTTCTGCTTTCTAACACCAACATTTCCAGAAGGAGGGGATGGTCAATATTAAAGTACCTACATTTCAGCCTTTCATTAAAAACTCTACCCTTATACTATAATTTTATTATTTGCAGTAAGCTTAAACTCCCAGAGGGAAACCAATAAGAACATGACCCCCAGGAAAACAAGTATTTGCCATCTGGAGCCAAAGTAATGGCGTCCGAGTCAGAGAGTATTACTGCACCAAAGTAAAGTCAATCTGTAGATGTTTTTACTGTAAGATTAAATTTAAAATTATTCTTTTTCCAGATTTAGATTCAAAATAATCTGAACTTTTAGCATCATGTTTCTTGACATGAAATAATATTGTTGGAGTAGGCAAGCAACACTCTAAAAATGACCTCAACTTAGAATCTATGGAGGGAGCAAAAGATTAGGGTTATGGCCAGGAGGTCATCCTCGGCTTTATCAACAGAAATAAACCTAAAAAAAGCTGATCACTCATCAAAAGAAGGGTTTTATTGCTGTAACCCATCATCCTTTTGATTATAAATGTTACAATTATTTCGAAATTTATTTTTTTTATTGAATGTAATTTAGGAACAGATCATTTAAGTTTGTTAGACATCATTTAATATCTAAATCTAGTGGGCATGAGTAATTCGAGGCTGTTTGTGACACTCGTCCCATATTGATTGAGACATATATGATTGGGGTGTATCAACAGATTCACCCAATTAGACAACAAGGACTTAGAATTTGGATCCAGATAGGAGTGTTTTGGGGTTAATTAGTTAGTCCATTTTAAATGCCTACATGCATAATACAAGACCACTCTGGCTAAAATCCTGACATCCAGTTGGATTTATCCCCAAGCTCAGTCCTCCATACACTGAAAAACACTGTTTTGCTGTTTTGTCCCATAGAATTGGTAGGGTAGTGGCCTTAGGGATAGGCTCTTATGACAGCTTCCCACCTGCCTGACACCCTGCTGCGCATCATTTTAAATAATTTAATGTAATCCTTATCCAGGGTAGCCCTGTGCGGCATGTAATTCAAGTCCTTTGCTTGTTAATATTTAATTAAAGCAGTAAAGGTAGCTTCTCCACACCCAATAGGCAGGAAGCAATACGTTCTTGTTAAAATCGGTGTTTGAAACTTTGTGACTCCTCTTAGGATGCTTGTGGGGTTTTTATGGAAGGAATACTTTGATAGCTCCCTGGCAAAGCATTCCTAATGAAACAAAAGGGATATAATTTTCAGTTCACTTCTCCTAACTGTTTAAAAAGAATAATCCCAAGCAAATTCCTTTACATTTACATCTCTGGACCTGGAAAACTTTACCTCTGAAACCTGTTATCGGTAGTCATCAATTACTGTGGTCAGACAGGATGCTCTCAGGCCATATGGCAGCTCTACGTCTGAGAGCCTTAATGCTGTTTCAGCATTCTGTTCCCAGTCTCTCTCCTTGTGTGGGACGATAGGCAACCGCTCAGCCTAAAGTGCTGAAGCAGGTCTGCCTTTCTCCCTTGGTGAACATTGTACCAGCTAGTCCAAAGCTACTCCTGGGAAACATAAAGCAATAAGTAATAAAAAAGGTAAAATTTTGACTAATCATTTTCCCCTCACTTTGCTTGTTGTTGCTCGCTTGTTGCTCTAAAATTTGCTTCAACAACTGCTAAAACTAAGATTAAACTGTTTCTGTTGAAAATCACACTAATCAGTAGATATATGTTGATGTTGAATCGGAACTCCCAGGCTTAAGATTCCTAAGGTGTGTTTTGTTCTGATTTGATAGTCAAATCAACAAGAGCGACGCCCCAATTGATATGAGACTCTACAGCTTGTTTAAACATGGAGGCTATAGTTTAGACAGGGTTTCATTTGCATGGTTGTGCCTGCACAAGCACGCCTGTTCGTTGTCACTGTATGCTACCTAGCCTATGGCTCTGTATAATTTGCAGTGCATTGAAAGAGAAGGTGAGCCTGTGTATTCAGTGTCAGAGATGGAGAGAGTGGAGAGGGGAGGGAGACAGAAGGGAGGGGTGCGCCAAGAGAGCGCAGCGTCTGTTGAGCTCAGAGTGGTGTGATACGGAAGCCAGCGAGGCCCAAGCTGATCTGAAGCGATCCTTCTCTGCTCTCTTCTTGCTTGCCTCAGCTTAATCTAGCTTGTGCCAATTGGTAGGTAATTACCAGTTTGCAGAGCTGGATGCAAATTGGCCTAATGCCCCTCGAGACACCACACACCTTTACACACTTGCACGTATATACACACAACTACACAGGCACCTGACCGGCTCCTGGACACCTCTGTAAGTGCTGCTGCTTTGCCCACAGCCTCTTTATTTTACTGCAGTTTCCAGAGGTCCTCTTTGCTTGTCCTCCTTTATTACTTGGCTTCCATCTTTATTTAGCAATGCCTCCTGCTGAGGATCATTATCTAATTTTCTGTTGCTTTTTGGTTTTTCTAATCGAATTTTATGATTGATGTCTGCAGACGCCAGCTGTGGTGCATCCTAAAAGCAGACAATGTGGTTTTTTTTTATTGTTGTTTTTTATTAGTGAGCATGGTCCTGTGTCAGGGTGTTACAGTGTCTATGTGTTCCACCTTGAGAGAGGAAGACTGGAACACGCTGACTTCTATATATCAGCAAGATACAATGCTGAGGAGCAGGTACTGAGCGTTTAAAAAAAAGGATAGAGCAAAAT